AACAACAACACTTCCTCCTGAACTCACAAACAACAAGAAGGGTGATGCAGACAGCAGCAGCAGTATCAGCAGTTCTGTGTGGGTGCGTGTACCACTACTGATTGTGGTTACACTGGCCTGTATTCTTGTGTGCTGATTGTAATGGTGGTGTGACTCAGGTCATCCTTTGTTTTCTTTTCTTCTTTGTATGTATCCCTACAGTCTAACTAATCTTCCACCAGTTAGGATTTCTTTTTCTTTTTGTTTCTTAATGTTAATGTGTTTTGTGTGTTTTTGCTCTCTCTGTGTGTTTATCCTATAATAATTATTATTGCTACTCCATTATGTGTGTGTGTGTGTTCTTGGAGACTCACTCTGTGTGTGCCTGGGCTTGCACTGTAATGATGATGAACTGTTTTTTGCAATGAGAGCAAAAGGAAATCATAATAATAGATGAATTTATATTTATAATTGCGTAAATATATACACATATAGACTTACACCCATAGGTGGTGTATATTTCTGTGTTTACTAGGTAAATTGGTCTAGTGGTTAATATCTGTTTATTTGCTTGATGATTTTGCTGGCTGGTTCATCCTTTGTTTTGAGGTATTTATTAGTGTGGGCTTTTTGTTTTTGTTTTTACTCTTTCTGAGATTATTGGGCTGTATTGCATTCTTTAACTGGTTGATTTGTTTTTCGCGTTGTGAGTTTCTTTGTAGTTTACTATTTATGCTTCCTAAAGTGTTTGATATAATATTTTTTTCTTTTTCTTTTTTTCTTTTTTGCTTATTTTCGGTCTTTACACCCATATAGACGTCGGTGTACCTCACTTGATATTATTGACAAGAGTGTCTATGTTACCGTGCCGTGTGTTGTGCCTGTTGGCTATTCTTTTCTGCTGTGTGAGTGCGAGTGGAGCCGCAGATGCTGGTGGTGTTGATAATGAAATCAGAATAGATCCTAAAAGCATTTCTGATTTGGCAGAACTAGCCGTTGAATCGGTCAAAGCGGCAAATGCGACGAGGAATAAGATTTTGCAGTTGAAGGATGAATGCATTGCTGCTGCAAAAAATGCCACTGACTTAACCAGAGAAGCCAAAGAGTTTGTCGCGAAAATTAATAAGTTGGTCAAAGAAGCGGAGACTAATCCATCTGATGGGGAGGCTGAGAAGAAGAAAGGCGATGAACTTCTCGAGAAAGTGAAGAAGGCCGCCGCCGTTGCAGAAAATACTGCACGGTTAACTAAAGAAGCAACAAAACTTCCGATATTTAAATACGGAGAGACGGCTCGGGAACTATTAGTTGATTTTAGGTACTCATATGACGAGATGAACAAATCCACGACAGAACAAGTTGATGACACTGAGAAACCAAAACTCAAGGAGCTTCACGAAAAGGTAGAATCCGCATTCCCTTACAGAAACGAAACGGCTCTGGCAGAAATCTCGTTAGGTGCCCTCGTCGCCGTAGAAGATGCACAAGAGGCGGCAAAGAAGACTGAACCTACGGTTGAGCCTGCGAAAGAAGTTGCTATACTTTTAAAGGAGGCCTTAAAGAAACTCGAGGAGGTGATTACTGCTGCGAATGAAATAAAGGAAAAAATAACACCAGAGGAAAACAAAGGATCCCCGAATAACACAGAGGATAACAGTGACCCCAGCGACTCTACTTCTACCCACCAACCATCTCCTGTAACTGTATCCAATGCAGAGATCACCTCTATTGCCCCCTCACTGCAGAACAAACCCATTGTTGACAGCAGCAGTGTCAGTCCTGTGTGGATGCGCACTGCAGCACCGCTATTGATTGTGGCTGTGATGTTCTCCGTTACCGTGTACTGAACGGTGGGACTCACTTGAGGACAAATAATAATAATGGTTAATACCAACATAATCGTAATTGCGTACATCCCCCATGGGTGAATGAAATTAATAATCTGTTTACCAGCTTTCTCTTTTAATTGGAATATCTTTTCTTTTATGTTTGTGTGTTCGTTTTCTAATAATTCCATTACTTGCTTTTCCCGTTGTGTGTTTGCAGAAAACTGGGCTGTTCTGCTCACTGACGGTATACATCTCTTGCTAGTACACACAGATGTGTGTGTGGAGTAATTTAATACATAATGTAGAGCCATACAGTATTGTGTGTGTGTTTGGCTCTCTCTCTTCTTTGGGTATTGTGGGGTCTTCTTTCGTTGTACTCTGAGTGATGGTGGAGTATTGTTTTATTCTGGTTGGCTTCCATTTTCTGTGATTGTTTGTGGTTTTTTTTCCTCGTTGTATTTCTTTTTTATTGGTGTATTAACGTTTGCCTTTACCTGCGTTTTTTTTTGTTTTTGCGTTTCTTATGTATAGTTCGTTTAAGGAGTTAAGGGATTCAAAAAAAGAATAAATTGCCTTTCCCATGATGCAGCTACACTATGTATTCTGCATTTTTACCTTATTGCTGAGCTGCACCAGTGTGTGCGTGTTGGCTGAAGATACTGCTCCAGAAGGTCTTGGTCATGGTGTTACTTCTTGCTCTGATGTTTCTGATGGTACTTCTAAGCCTCCTTGTACTCGTGAGAATCCTGGTGGTGGTCTTGGTGCAGAAGAGTCTCACCAAATTGAACAACAGAAGTTGACAGTGTTAGAAGAACGGGATGTCAAAAATCAACATTTGGAGGGGAAACTAAAGCAGGAAGAACTTACTCAGCAACATGAGGCTGCGCAAGAAGATAGGGTACCTCAGAGTGATCACCGTTCTACTCAACCTGCTGCTGCTGTTTCTAGAGGGACTGGTGGTGTTGATGGTGCTTCTCAACCAGGTGATCACGTTACTGAAAACCCAGTGGATGAAAGGACTGCGAATACATTGACTGGAAGAAGGGACACTGCTGCAAAAGGTTTGGAGACTCCGGTTGCTCAGCATGGTGGAAAAGAAAATGTAGAAGTACAGGCAGATGCATCTGTTAAAACCGATGAAGGACCATCACAAAATGGACCACACGATGCACCAAACGTGAACGGACCATCACATTCGGCAACTGAACCGAGTACAAGTAACACCAGAACATCAGATAATACAGACACCACACAAACAAATGTGACAGGAACAGCAGAAGGACAGGATACTTCAGTTCCCACAACTCAAAGTACAGGTGACGTTTTTTCCACCAACACAACTACAGATGCTACCAGTAATAATCACGCTGAAAGTGAAACTAATGACACAAACCCTGCAGAAGGTGAATCAACCAGTGAGGAATCAACCACCACCACAAAAGCAACACTTCCTCCTGAACTTACAATCAACAAGAAGGGTGATACAGACAGCAGCAGCAGTATCAGCAGTTCTGTGTGGGTGCGTGTAGCACTACTGATTGTGGTTACACTGGCCTGTATTCTTGTGTGCTGATTGACTGGTGGTGGTGCTGTGGTGTGACTCAAGTCATCCTTTGTTTACTTTTTCTTTTCCTTTTTGCATACATCCCTACAGTCTAACTAATCTTCCACATGTTTGGATTATCTTCTTTTTTTGTTTCTTAATGTTAATGTGTTTTGTGTGTGTTTTTGCTCTCTATGTTTATCCTATAATAATTATTATTGCTACTACTCCATTGTGTGGGTGTGTGTTCTTGGAGACTCTCTCTGTGTGTGTGCACCTGGGCTTGCACTGTGA